GATCATGACAAGGAACACACGGCGGGTGTGACCGGTCAGCAGGGGATGCTCACTCCTCCATGGCACCTGATCCCACCTCTGATGTTTCGGAGGCCCGTGTTTGCTCTGTTCCTATGTTGTATTGTTTTATGAACTTTAATATTGAATACTGTTTGTGATATCCATGTCCCTCTTCATTGAGGAGCATAAATTTATGATTATATTTTTGGGTGTTTTTTTTATCATTCAAAGGTTTTGTTCCAAAATTTCATGACATATTTCTGATAACCGTAAACTTTGAAAATTTTTACAAATCCAAAAACAAAGCATTGAAGCAACAAAAGAAACGTAATTTAACTTCATGTATATAATTCAATTCCCTTAGCTCTTACCTTAAACTAACATACACATCAGTAAGCATTCTGCCTTCTTATACATACATTTAAACTACATTATATTAGGTACGATACTTTTTCCTGTATATACGGGCAAATACCATACACATCAAGAATGTTCTTATAGTGATGATAAAAAAAACCCAAATCTGTCAAAAATTTACATCTGAGTGAATAATTGTTTAACCTTCAGAGATATCTATAAATTAAAAAAACAACAACACTTTTCAACACTGTTTAGTCCACAGACGCCTGACAAATGGTTTCTGTAACGTCCCCTTTCTTCTGAGATTTTATACACACTAACTTTACAAATAAATCTGGACTCTTTGTCTGTCATGCCATTACTTCGATCTCCAAAGTCCTAGCAAATCCAAAGTAAAAGTTTGAAATTTTTGTGTAAAAGTGTGTCAAACTCCAAGGCCAAGTTCAAAAGGTCAAAATTGGTTGTACACATAAAGGTCTTGTCACAAAAATACACATAAAATATGAAAGCCATAGTCCCATCTAGTCTAAAGTTATGGGCAAGGTTCAAGTTTTTGCGGACAAATAGACGGACGGACGGACGGGTAAAAAGAATATATCCCCCAAATTTATTTTAAGTTTTGCAAATTATTTTTTCAGCGTAAAATCAAAGAAATTTATGATTAATTAATTAATCATGGAAACAATCAAAACTTTTTTCTGACACCAGCGAGAAAATGACCCTTTAAAGATTAAAATGACAACTGTGGAAACTTACGGGATCAAATGTAAAAAACGATTCTATGAATTTGCATATCTTTGCCTTAATAGTCTTAAAACAATTTAATACATGTAGATATTGTTTTCCTTCAATGGGGAAAAAACGGTTTGTTTTATTAATGTTAGGTATTGTATAGTTGTGATTTCGTTATTTAAGCTTAAAGCTTTCAGAAATTAACACTTCAAAGCATAAGACTGCTTGATATTACCCGTATACATTCGCCTAACAAGAATATTCCTACCAAAACGAAAGTTTTTGAATAAAAAAAACAACAAGGGGTCGTTATTCTAGGGGGTCATTTTTCTACAATGCACACGGAGAAAAACTACCCCAAGGCCATAATTTCTATAGAAAAGTGGGTCATTTTTCCACGTAGAATATTGAAGAGGAGGTCAAATTTCTACGTAAAAAATGACCCCCGGTCAATATTCTACAGGGGTCACTTTTCGTCGTTACATGGGCAACCACGCCATTTTTATCATAAAACGCATTGGTTGCCCATCGAATACCCATCGCTGGATAATGTGACTGATTCATTAAGGACTACTAGGCCGATCTGGACCGATGTTGGGGCATCGTTAACACCACAGATTATCACCGATCACCACCGCACCGGTCTTCGACTACCGGCCGAGAAGTGACCTAGGTAGAATTCCTATCTTATTCAAAAACAGTTGCATCCTTTGTGCATATTGTGGCTGAAAATCAACTGCTGGATAACATCATGTGACCAAAAACATAAGACAGTTACACTTATTCCTTCAATCAGCCCAGAGGAAAAAATCAATGTCGTCTTATGCCTAGGTCACATTTCCCGGCCGGTAGCCGTAGACCGGTGGTATTCGGTAATTATCCGAGGTGTTAACGATGCGCCAACATCGGTCCACATCGGTCTAGTAGTTCTTAAAGTATCAGTCACATTATCCAGCGATGTACATACGATGGGCGACCAATGCGTTATATGAGAAAAATGGCGTGGTTGCCGGTCGGACTTAAAAAGTTCCAGCGATGCATTGCGAATCATAAAACGATGTTCCAGGATAATCCGCCGATGTATATTACATCGCTAATACATTGGTGAACATCGTTCGTACATCGGTCGACTACGGGCCAATATTTGGTCGAACATCGACTGATGATCGGTCGTTATCTGTTGAACACCACTAGACTCCCCGATGACCTCAGTTTCAACGGATATTGGACGATGCTCGGCCATACATGGGCCGATCCGTGAAAGATATGTTACTGATGGGTTGCCGATGAAGAGCGATGTGAGGCACGAGTTATTTCGTAACGATGACTCCACAGATTCGCAAAAAAAGACTCAGTCACCGTTCGATCACTAGTGGTGCCCGGCCGGCAACCACGCCGTTTTCATCAAAAAACGTATCGGTTTCTCATCGTATACCCCATCGTTGGATAATGTGACTTATACTTTAGTAAACTTATGTTACCTGTTAAAAGGCGTTTACGAAATGAAGGCAACGATTCTGATTCCACGCTCAGACTCACTAATTCTTCTGACTTCTCAAACCTCACTGATGCAGCAGACTCCTTAGACCTAGAATCTTTTTGTTCTTGATTATTGCAACGCAGATTTCCTAACTGAATTCTGATGGAGTCTATTAACATAAGACTGAATTAAATCTTTCCTGTAATCTTATGTTTTCTTGTCGGGCTTTCTTCACTCGAACGTCCATCTGTTTAACGAGAGATTTAACTATTCTCCTCAATTTGAGGTTTTCTTCTTGAAGTCTCTTCATATTGACGTCCATCTTTCCAATTGATTCTTCCTTGCTTTCTTGGTTATTGAGTCTACTTTTCAGGTCTTCATTTTCGGTCTTCAACTTCTTTTTCTCTTCCACATGTCCTACCATTGATTCCTCAAGGTTCCTGATCCTATCATTTTGAAGATCATTTTCACGTTTTTGCTCCTCTTGCAACGTCTTTATCACATTTTCCAAGTGGGAGATTCGATCGTTGTCCGCTTTCTTGGCGGCGATGATTGCTGCCAAAGAAACCAATAGCAATAACGGATAAAGAGGCGCCATTACACTTTTCTCTTCTTTGAATGTACTTATTATTTTCACTCGATGACCTTTTAACGTCTTATATAATATGTGCAAAATAAAGATAACAAGAACTGGAACAATTGAGAGGAAAAGTCATGTATGTACTTTTGATTTTCTTTTCAAAAAAGAGGTTATTTGCAATGCATTCTTCAGTTGAAACTGAAAAAAGCGATCTGATAAAAGAACCAAATGCTAGTAAATATTTCTAATCAAATTCAGAATTCAAAATTTGAAGTTTTTTTTCTTTCTGAAATAATTGTGAGAAATGATACAGAGGGCGAAAAAATTTAATTCACTTCTTCATGTTCTTCTTATTTTATTTTTGAAATAGGTAAAAACTAGGGTTTGTCGAAACAGGTAAAAAACAAGGCACAATTTTATTTTTGAAAAAAAAAAATCAAATGTTTCACAAAATCCCTATTCTTGTACATATTATTGTTGACTTTGAGAGACATATTTCTCATATTCCCTTAACTCTGAACTCTATGGAAAAGCAGAATTTTTTTATATAGACAATTTTGCCTCGGGTTATGCATCAGAAGTATATATCATACATGTAATAGAATAAAAACGTACTTCATGAAATTAAATATATGGAGATAAAGAACATGCAACTCAAAAATCTATTAAACAATTAATACAAAATAGGAGCATGCAGAGCAAAGACGGACTTCCAAGACATAAGAAGTGGGATCAGGTGTCATGGAGGAGTGAACATCCCCTGTCGACCGATAAACAATGGATACAGTCAGAGTTTTGTCACATGGTTGTGAATTTGTCCTTGATATCCCCCATACAAATGAGATATATACGAATTGCTGTGTTTGTCCGTCTGCTTGTCTGCAATCTTGTCTGTATATATAGTTGTTATGAAAAAAAATGAAACACTGGAAGTACAATTCGTATATACTACGACTAGACAAAAGGATAACATATGACACGAAGGATATGTCACGAGATTGACCCAAGGTTATTAATGAAAAGAATTTAAGGTCACTAACAGAAAAATATAAATTTTTAGTCCGGTCTACAACTTCTAGTCTGGGCTAAGACTCTGACTTTTTAACAAGGTAAGACGGGGTCTTGGACTTCATCCAAGGTCATGCTCTGCGGCAAGTACATTGGCAATGGCAGAAAAAAAATAATTCCCGAGCTTATACTTGGTACTTTGATTGCTTATGATCTGAGAATGTGTATTGACCTTGATCAAAGGACATTCTGGCAAGTTCAAGGTCACTGAAATAAGACATTAGCATGGTCCATATTTTTTTAATGGAGAGCCATTGGAAGTTCATCAAAATGGTGGTTAAGGGTTTTGTATAAATATGACGCTTGGGTGTGACTTTAACTCAAGATTATTCCAGGAAGTCCAGGGACACTGGCAAATAAATATAATTCTTGTCCAGGTTATTATTTTGTATTGGAGAATCACTGGAGGCTCATGTTTGGTAAAAAGATCATTACTACTAGTAATATCCTATGGGTTTGCTCCAATTAAATTTTAATGCCCCATGCAAAATAGTTTGAGGTTTGAACTCCGATTGACCTCTCTGTTGGCTGTTGCGGGTGAATGCTCCCCAACCAAAATGTATTGAATCTGTGTGAAACTATAATGTCCTTGAACTTGGAATTTTTTCTTTCATAAATGAATCTTAAGTTTTTATGATTTACTTCTCTACTGGGGAGCTACAGTAATTTCTTCTTTACAGAATTTATAATTTTAAGCCCCAGTTATTTTATCTGTGTGACTTTTTGTATAAAAAAAAATTCAAAACTAAAGATGCAACGCATTTTATTTACTTTGCCATTTCCTCATCCTTTAATAATCTAATGAATCAATAATACATTAATAGGATTTCATAAAATTTATCAGATGTTACACATCATTTAAATTGTTATGGCAACTGGATCCGAAGAAAAACTTCTTTCAAAGAAATGATAGCATACATATAAAAGTTTCATTTGTTTTAAAAAAAAATAAAATGAGCTCATTAGTTACAAGTATACCTCTCAACATAAAACAGTTGATCTCCTAAACTCTTAAATATGAAGACTATATCTACTGACTAAAAAGAATGCATATTTATAGAATCATTAAGTCTATAACATTGAATAGTTTTAACAGTGACCACTATAAAATACTACGACAATTTAATCCATATCTATTTAGTCTTCCTATAACTTACATTCATTCCACAAACTACAAATCTCTCATACTTTCGAATCATTTTCAAGCAATAAGATGAGAAACAAAAAATTCATAAATAATGCAAAAGTTGTTAGGCATCATTGATGCTAATGTTAAATGCTTGAAAGTGAATGCTCAATCAAAATCATGCTTAGAGAATTTTCAATTTTCACAGATTTATTGACAACTTTCATTTTAAATCCTTTACACTACTACATGTATAAATGTCCACTATGCTGTAAAATCACATAATTATTTTTGAGGGGATCAAATTTTTTATGGTTTGAGAAATATATATTGGTTTGTGGGAATTTGATTTCGTGGACGAAGAAATGTTATGCAGTAATTTATGTGAAAAATAACATTTCATGGCGGATAAATTTATGGATCTTTTCATACCTCAAAAACATCGAAAATTAAACCCCCGAAAAAATTTGTGATTTCATAGTATACTTTGCAAAATAATATTTTGGTTCTTATTAGTAAGAAAAGAATACCGAATGAGTAGCAATTTTAGTGAGGATTTAATTTTGGCATTATTAGCGAGGCTGTTGAGATCCCTAAAATTGAATTTTGCTAAGAATAAATAATGTATTATTTGTACTAGCTTCTTTAGTGGGCATTTTAAAATCGCTAAAATTACTTCTCGCTAAAGATAAAATACCCGTTTTTAAGGGGAAATCGCTATATTTGCACCTCGCTAAAATTTCCACTTACCAGTATACGGTATCTAAAAACTTTAAAGTAAAATATAAAAATGAATTGTTTGTGGCTTGGCAGTCTGGCAAATAATCTGAATTTCAAATAATTAAAATGTTTCACAGAATAAACTCTTTACTGAAAGAAACAATAGCTCTATCTGATACCTCTCCTTAAGACAATTGACAAAGTTGTCTCAAAAACACACAAGAGTAGCTTTGTACTTCATAAATACACAGTACTGTATATTTATATATGATTTATATCACAGATTCTTATCATTAAGTACAGTAAACTTCAGTTATCAGAAAATCACAAGGATCAGGTAATTTGCTCCCTTAATAGCCAATATTCTTTAAATCTTATCAGCAACAGTGAGGGTGAAAGTCTTCTAACTACATGTACTGTAAACCAACTTTAATTCCCGTGTGAGAAATTTTTCGCAAAGTTCACGACAGCTTCGTCATTGCGAATATTTGTATTCACGCACCAGTATCTCTGTCTATCTAAAACAGATCCAAAAAGGCTTGATCGCAAGAATTAGTCCTTGCTAGCTAGTTTATTCCCGGTTAATCCCGAGATAAAGTCGTCATGAATAAAAGTTGGTTAACAGTATTTAAAAAGTTTGTTATATCCATGATATCTTTGTAAGTTGGCTTTTTATAACCAAATTTTACTGTACATCAAACGCTATCACCTTTCCCTGTGAGATAAATGGAATTAACTTATATCACACTTCCCTTTGTGGGATACGACTACTCAGCCCTAATCAAACTTTCCTTTGTGGGACGTATTGGCCAAGCTTTAGTTTGCTATAGAGGTTAACTTTCTGAACTTTTTTGTCAAAACTTTCACCACCATATTTCTCTCTCAAGCTGTTTCTCAGTATCTGGGACTGGTGTGCCACTTCCCTGGACTTAAAAAAAAAACAAAAAAAGGGTTTATGGAATTGTTTGAAATCAAATCACAAATATACAACATATTTTTTCTAGAAAATGCACATGCTTGAAAACAAGAGCAAGAGACAGTGTTAAGTCAACTACATCACAATAAATATAGTCAAATGTATGTGAATAAGATTAAGAGTAAAAATGTATGTACTATACAGAGTATTTTTAAATCTTGTATATGAGATTTCACTGATAAAATTAAAATGAAGATTCTGAACATATTCTGAATTTTTAAAAAATCAAAATGAAAATAAATTTAAGAATAAAAAAAAACAGAAATAAAACAAAAGAATGAAATAAATGATCAACTATAAAACATACTTACAAGTACATAAAATATGTGACTGAAGAATAATTTGGGGAATTTCTAGCGACATTTCTTACAATTTCAATGCTTTCAAAATTAAATTGCAGTTTCAAATATTATTGTATGCATCGTATTACAAAATTGAAATTGAACACCAAAGCACATGTGCTGAAAAAAGAGATTTGGTGCAGACTGTATGTCTTTTAAACATAAACATGTTTCCTCTTACTTACAGATCTAGAGCTACTAACATATTGAAAAAGAATATTTTCAGAAAAAAGTCCAGGGGTTGCTTGTGTCTCTGGATGCTGATTTTTTTTTTTATTTGTTTCTAAATGATTGAATCTGAAAGCCTTACAACCAAAATCTTAAAGGTCAACAGCTCTGCATCTGTAATGCTTTATAAATAGTTTTCCTACCCCCCCCCCCCCTCCATCTGCCCCTATGCTTCTTATTAAGTGTACCTACTTTTTGTATTGTGATACTTTTGTCCAGCTCCACACTCTTGGCCCGCTGTTCCTTGACTAAAATCTCATCTTCTACCTCTCTTCTTCTAAGTCGTTCTTCCTTGTCCAACCTGCAAAATTTGAATAAAAAATCTTGTTCAATGACGCATTTCTTACACTCAATAAATTCTGTCAATAAGATGGACAGTGCTTTCTCCCGTCATATAAAAACTAGTACTGTGTGCTACAATGTATACAGACACAGAGACCGAGTGAAAGAAAAATAAATGTTTGTCCCCTCCCCCCCCCAAAAAAAGCATTTTAAAACAAGAAGCCATTATGCCAATGGGTCAAAACTCTCACCCAAGTCCCTAAGTCCCTTCTGTTTATTCAAAGTGGATTTTTCCCCAACATACATGTGTAATCCTCTGCATAGTTTTGATCAAATATTGTGGTTCCAGAATATTCCCCATACTTCCAAAAAGTCATGAATACAATACTTGTTTATGCTTCCAAATCAATGTGACAAATCCTAGTTTTTATGTTCTTGAGATGATATTTTTATCATATTTTGTCCTTAAATCATAAAGGAAACTTTGTGTCAAGTTTGGTTGAAATTGGCATAGAAATTAATGAGAAAAGTTAATGGAGACAATGAAATGGAGAATGACATACAACAGACAAATTTTGATCAGAAAAGCTTTGGCACAGGTGTCAGAGCTAAAAGCTTTGCCATGCCTACAGTAATGAATTTCCTTTTTAAAGATGTAACTTCATGCAAATACAGGAACTTACAATCTGAGTTTTTCTTTTTGCTGTTGTTCCTTCTCTATACGAGATTCGTGAGCTTGTTTGGCTTTTATATCCATTTTTCTGGCCACTATTTCTGAAGCATGTTCTTCTGCCTTGTAAATAAAACAAAATGGAGATCATCATTTCCATAAGAAACAAAAGACACAATCACAGATAGTTAATTTCAGAAAAGTCTTAATACCAGCAAAATCTCCTTCATTTACTGTATACAGGGTTATTTTGGCCCTATGTTATTTTCATCCTCTCATATTTGGAAACAAGTTTGTCCCATTTTAAATTCGCCCAAAATGATTTTTGCTTGATATAATGCTGTTTACTTTGAATTCACCCCGTTTTAAATTCGCCAACTTCCTACGAGGACGAAAGGGGCAAAAATAAAACAGGGGCGAAAATTTACCTGTAAACAGTATTTTACTGATTTCAAATAAAAATGTAAATACAACTACATTGCACATGCATGAAATCAGTTGCGTCATTCCTTGAAAGCCCTGAAATGTACAGTTAAACCTCTGGCATTACGTTATTTATTTGTGAACATTTAGAGAAAATATCTCTACCATTTTTCTGTGGTCTGTGATAGAAGAACGCCATTCATCCATTTCATCTTCCAGCTTCTGCTGAGCAAGTTTGGCATGTAGTGATTTCCTTTCTCTTTCCATCCTGTTAAAAAAGTCCCCTCTTTATTAAATATATATTTAAGTACATGTATCGAATTTAAATATTAACCATCCTAGATATAGTATTTCAGTTTAAACTGAGAACTCTAAGAATATAATTAACTCTATGAAACATTTCAGCATGAAATGGTGAATATCAGTTTCAAAAATGAGCGACTTCTATCTCAATATGAAGGTCTAATATCTCAATATGATTTTTTTAAGATCAAATACTTCAATATGTAAGTGTCATATCTCAATATGGAAGGTATAAAATCTGTTCTCTCAACATAGGGTCTTATATCTCAATAGGAATGTCTGATATCTCAACAGGAAGGTCTGATATCTCAATATGATGGAAAAATATCTGAATGTCAATATATGATCTTAATATAAATGTCTGATATCTCGACAATATCAAGGTCTGATATTTCAATATGAAGGCTTTCACTAAATATATATGAAGGTGTAATAATTCAATATAAAGTAGGGGTGGAACGATACACAGATCTCGCGATACGATACGTATCTCGATATATTAGCACGATACGATACATATCTCGATATTATGATAAATTATAAAACTATTTTTAAAAAGTGTATTATTTCATTTTCTGTCTTGACATTAAATCAACTGTTACATGATAAATTATAAAACTATGCAAGAGAATTAGTCTTTTATTTAATTTTTTTTTGTCTTGACATTAAATCAACAAATTATTCTTAGACTATATAAAATCATATATGCCTTGAAATGAATACTTGAAGTTCATCAAATTCATTGACTAAAACCTTACAAAAACAATAATACATGTACATATTAATGTTACCAAATTTCTATAAACAAGTTATTGACAAACAGTTGTGTAGTTCATCTAAGAACACTGACTAAAATTTCATATAAAAAGACAGCACATTTACATTATAATCAATTGCTGAAAGTCTGTAGCCTAGTTGAGATTACAAAAAAGCACGAGATGGACTAAAAATTAATAGTATAAAATGTTCTGGAAACGATACTCTTCTATGTATAACACGCATTACATACTGAACTTTTCTTGTCCAATCTTCCAAGGCTGCTTAAAAGTAGAAAAGTTTTACCCCTTATCAACGACTTATTAGTTCTACATTATGTTTTCAAAATCATCATCGTCTCTATGTTTCGTACAAGCCGCCATTTTCCAAGGACAGGTACTTTCATTTTCAATTTTTGGATAGGTCGTTCGTGTATCGTTTCGTACCGATATTTGAATGCTTGTATCTTAAACCGTATCTTAGAGGAAAATATCGATATGTATCGGTGTATCGGTATATCGTCCCAGCCCTAATATAAAGGTCGACTAACCTGCTGAGATTTAATTCCTTGTCTCGTCTTTCTAATGCCTGTTGATGATTTAAGGTGGCATGTCTGTGTTTTCTGTTGATGCTGGATTTCAAGCTCATCTCTTCTTTTCTGCATTAAAAAAAAATTATAAAGATTCAAAAGAATCCTCTGTTAACCATCCACACCTCTTCAACAAAAAATATTGTATGTTAGACACGAAACTGAATGCTGTAGATAATGAGTTCATAACTCAACTCAACTTAATGATAAAATTACAAATGTGGTATTATAATACTGTCATTTGACTCATTGTTTCTCTGAGACAGAAAAATAACAAAATTTAATCCATAAAGAAATTGAATAAAACATAAATGAGCTCATTCCTGATCTAAGTTAAACTTTTCTACCATATACAGTGGAGCCTCATTTATTCCGATGCTTTGGTTCCCAGTCAATTTGTCCAGATATGCGAAGCGCTCGAATATCTGAATAACTAGTTAAATGAGACCAAATAACATTAAAAAATTCCATCTCGATTAAAAATCGTCCAGATACTGAAGTGTCCGGATATCTGGGGTCTGGATATCTGAAGGTCCACTATATTTCTTTCAAAAAAATGAGAATGAGATCAAAAGTTAGCTGATGTTTTGCCTGGAGGCTGCTGTCTTACTCAGTAAGTTTCTCTAGCTCTCTTTGTCTTTGTTCAAATGCCTCTCTCTTACTTCTGTCTTCCAGTAGCTTACGCTGAAAATAAAGGACAACAACTCTGAAAACCATTAACTAAATGTTAAATTCTATTCAGAGCGAAAATTGTACAATTTATGGTCCAGTTTTTTGTTAATACAGTATAATTTCTCCAAACCGGCTACCGCCGGTTCCATAAAATTTGGCCGGTTTACACAGAATCCGGACTGCAGGAAAAATGCAGGAAAATATTAATTTTGAAAATTTCATTGTTTATTTACAAGTTCATTATTATACATAATATAAATTATAATTAAATGATGAAATCAATCAATATTTTGGAGTCTAGAAATTATAAAACAGTCTCTTATGACTTACTGTATTTTCTTGTTTTTCATGAAGTTTGAAAGTTGGGTGAAATGTTACCTAAATCAAAATCTACAGGCACACATAATATAGGCCCAGTATATATCAAGCGAATCACGTTTCGCTTGTCAAAGAGCTCATTCAATGTGAAAACAGTACGGCACAATTATTTACGATGTGCTAATTATCAGATTTAACTTTTAATTTTTATGTAAAAAGTAACGTCTTCAACCTGGTGTTATAGCACCATTTTGATATACGTTTGATTTTCGATCCCCATTTGTATATTGATTTGTAAATCGCGTACATATTTATTTTTTGTATTTTTGTTATAATGTGGTAAAAGGATCGAGTTAAAACATTATTAATTTTTTTAATTGTAATTCAATCATATACTAGTAGTTTTTTTTCAACTGGGCCATATCAACGCCGCATTTCACTGAGTTCGTTTCATGGCACTGCTAATGTAAACACAGATTATCAAGTCCACCACGAAAGGTGTTAATTGCTTTGAAGTAACTCAGGTTTGGCCGGTATAGAGGAAATAATTACCGTTAATTATGAGCAGTTGGGACCAGTATGGCCGTTGGGAATACAGAATAGACAGTATACGGACTGCACAGAATTTTTTCTAATGAATTTGCTAAAGAAGTGCATGGGACTAAAATTTATAGACGGAATGGACAAAAGTCCGGAGTACTCAGAGTCCGGATTAGACAAATTTTACTGTAATATATTTCAACATCCACTCAAAAATATTACACTGCACTAATGACCAAACATAGTTATTTACTGTAAGTTTATTATATCTAGCATGTACACCTGTACTATATTCGAAGGTGTTTAAAAAACTACAAAGCCATATCCAATATATTTACAGTATTTTTTTAGCATTAAAAAATGCAATGTATTTATCACCAAGTTTATGAGCTACATTTGTATTTAACTTCAGAATTATTAATAATTGGCAGTACATGTACAAGTACCACAGAGTTGAATCCCAGTATTAAATCCATTACTTACCAATGTTTCCTGTAGTAGTCTGTTCTCCTTTTTCTGGGAGGCAGACTTTAAATCGCTCTCACTCTTCATACGAATCAGCTCCTTCATTTCTTCTTCATCTCGAGTTAGGAATGATTTATTGGTTTCCTAGAGCAAGAGAATTCATAGTCATATTCTGACCAATTGTTCAATATCTATGGAAAATGTGGTTTTTCTAGTGTCTTATTTCCTTTGAAACTAACATTTGGCATAAAACTCATCAGCATAAAGTTGTTCTCCAAGAAAGGGTACTTTGATGCAGTTTGTGACTCTGCTATGCATGAACATAAATACATGTATCTAGATTTTTATTTGTCTTCACCACTACAAGGCACTTAAATGACTTCTGGCCCCGGGATCATGAAACAGACTTAGACTTAAGTTAAAATTTCAATTATTTATAAAATCTTGAAAACTTGTTAAAGGAAACTCATGATTTGCATACAACAGCAGACTGATGATATAAAATCGGGAGGTATTTTCATTTTGGGCTGCTTGACCTCTAAAAAAATCAGCATCTAAGGCATTTTTTGACTTAAGCTTAAGATGCTTCATGATCCCGGGGCCTGTTCTAATACCAGCTTTATTTTCTTACTTGCAATCTCTTTTTCAGGTCTTCTTTTTCTTTTCTGTCTGACATTTGTAGGTCCTAGAAAAGTTAAAAATGGATTTGTTGTTAAAGAAAATACCTTATAATTCCCCTGCAAAGAAAAAGCATATTACAAAAGCTTGACAATTATACAATATGTTGTAATTAAGGACTTAATGTCAACAAGTGTTGAGAATACTTGGCATCCTTAGTTACTGTAAGATAACATCATTTAAATAATAAACAATATCTTAATTTATAATATTTATTCATAATGTAGAAGTATTAATCTCATAATCCCTTCTAGAACTTTTTAGGGACCTCTGAAGAACCTACAGTTAAAATTTGTCATCAAGAACAAATGGGGATATCCAGGATTTTGAGTTAACAAGGTTAAAATGTTTAAATATAAGGGGGGAGGAGGGACTTTAAACTCACTTTGACACATTCGACTTATCTACCCTCATCCTTAGATGAGTCTGGGGCCTTTTAACTGTTTACCTACCCTCATCCTTAGATGAGTCTGGGGCCTTTTAACTGTTTACCTACCCTCATCCTTAGATGAGTCTGGAGCCCTTTAACTGTTTACCTATCCTCATCCTCAGCTGAGTCTGGGACTTTACAACTGTTTACCTGCCCTCATCCTTAGGTGTGTTTGGGACATTACAACTGTTTACTCCCTCATCCTTAGCTAAGTCTGGGACCTTATAATTGTTTACCTACCCTCATCCTTAGTGGGGTTTGGGACCTTACATGTATATCTGTTTACCTACCCCCATCTTTAGTTGTGTTTGGGACATTACAACTGTTTACTTACCCTCATCCTTAGTTGTGTTTGGGACATTACAACTGTTTACTTACCCTCATCCTTAGCTAAGTCCGGGGCCTTTTAACTGTTTACCTACCCTCATCCTTAGCTGGGTCTGGGACCTTTTAACTGTTTACCTACCCTCATCCTTAGCTGGGTCTGGGACCTTTTAACTGTTTACCTACCCTCATCCTTAGCTGGGTCTGAGACCGCCTCTCCCAATCTTTATAACTGTTCTGTATTTCTCTATTTACACTCTCCTTCCATTTTTCCTCCTCTTTCTTCCTTCTTTTGTCCTTCTGTTTCTATTAAATGAAAAATGTTCCTTTTTGATAAGATCAGATTTAAATACAACCAATCTAATTAAAATTGGATCTTTAATCTAGTCTTGTTAGATCAGTACACAAAATTTAGCCATCTAACAGAAATGGATCAAAAATCTCACTTTTATTAGATTTAAATACATTTCATATGAGAAAGCTTTAAAGTCCGACTAGTATGTTAATTAACTAATCCCCGTGCATTAGTCTGTTTGCTAATTTTTCGTCATTCGCAATCTTCTTTTTTTACTTTAAATTTGTATTGGTATAATAAAACAGTTTAGTATATCATTGATTTCAGTTCCTCAAGGCCAGGACTATTTCCCGAGATGCAGCTGAATGATATACTTTAACTGTATAATAACCTTCTTCATATCCTTAATTCTGTTCTCCTCTGCCAGTAGCTGCCTCCTTTTCATTTCTGTTCTGACCTTGACCTCTTCTTCCAGTTTATGCTGCTCTTCCCAAGCCAGGTCAGCTATGAAGCGGTCACGGTTGGCTGAAATCTCTCCCTCACCTTTCATCATCATTAATTCTAAAATTCTCTGGTCCTACAAATTTTTAGGAATAATTCAATAGGTCAATCATTCAAATGTACATGTACAATAATTTTTATTTGGGTATTGAGAGTTGACATTCCAAGAAGGAATAAGGAAGAAAAATAAAACCAATGCCTAATTTATTTACAATTTGATACACTTACCGTAATATCTTTATTTAGACAAATACTTCCTGAAATTGTTACCCAAAATTAATATAGAATATGGCAGAGATATATCCCTTGACTTACCCTGGGTGTGGCAGTGATTTGAGAGAGATCCTGTGATTGGCTGAGAGTTTTCCTGAGTTTTGTATTTTCTATTGGCCTGGCCTCTCGTATCGTACTCTTATTCAGCAGTGAGGTTCCAGACAGGGAAAGACTAGAGGCACTCTTGCTTCTTTTTATTGAAGACCTTTTTGAAGCCCTAAAAATAGACAGTGACAAGTATATCAATGAAGAAAAGAAAGTATTGAAATTACACAGCTCAAGTATTGTATACTGTAAATCACTTTTTATTCGCGAGACGATATGCTCGCGAAAATTTAATTCTCGCGTATAATAGAATTCCTCAAGATTATATAGAGCAATGACCACAATTCGTGAAAATTTTGTCTCGCTAATAAAGAGTCAATGACTTTCTCGCGAAAATAAGGTGTCGCAAAAATTAAGTGATCTACAGTATATGATTCTAGATAAAAGACCACAATCCACTTGAATCTGTAAGAAAATTTTCTTTTTTCATAAACAGTGCTTGACTCATAAATATATGCATGAATGTATGTTTCATGAGCAGATGAGCACAAAGACTCATATAATTAAGGAAAAATAAAGTTCTCACAAATTAAAAGTGATTTACAGTATATACAAGACAGCTGAGCCAGGGACCATAAAACTTAGACAAGCTCACTTTTGATCTCAGTCTCATTTTTTCCAATGGAAAAATGAGACTAAGATCATAAGTGAGCTTGTCTAAGTTTCATCGCCCCCAGGGCTAACTTTTATTACCCCCAGGGCTGATCATTTTACCGTGCAGATCCCGGCCTTTCTTTCCTGGACAAGAGTTCATTCCTCAGCTTCATGCTCTCTTCGTGAAGGTCATTCATTCTGTTAACAAAGTACAAATATCTCAAAGCAGGAACATTTACCATCATTACTTTAAAACTAAATAAAAGTTAATTCAAGATTTAATTAAAATATGTCATTGGAATAATAAATTTTAGCTATGCCTTTTTTTAAAACATGAAAAAACATCTTCACTACAATTTTCTTTTCAATTCTTTTCCTGCTAATACAAAGCTCATCTGGCATTCTGAATATCTACAGAGTATATAGTCAATGTTTTACCCCCTGGTGTGACCCCTTTATGACCCACTGACCTAGTTAATGTTTTACCACTGATCGTTATGAATACCTCTAGTGTGACCTGTTTATGACCCACTGACCTAGTTAATGTTTTTACCTCTGATTAAGTTCATTGGGGTGACCCATTTATGACCCACTGACCTAGTTTAATGCTTTACCTGATTAAGTTCATTGGGGATGACCCCTTTATGACCCACTGACCTAGTTATTGTTTTTACCTTCGATTAAGTTCATTGGGGTGAACCATTTATGACCCACTGACCTAATTAATGTTTTACCTGATTAAGTTCATTGGGGGTGACCAATTTATAACCCACTGACCTAGTTATTGTTTTTACCTCTGATTAAGTTCATTGGGGTGACCCATTTATGACCCACTGACCTAGTTAATGTTTTACCTCTGATTGAGTTCGTTAGGTGTGACCCGTTTATGACCCACTGATGTAGCCCATGCTGTTCTGTTTCTCTGTAGACTGCCTTTACTTTTATTTAGTCCTTCATCTGCAAGACAATAAAACAAGTACATTAGAAAACTTTACCAAACATAAGACCTCATTGTCTAATTTGCAAGTTCAGACTTTCCTCATCTACTAAATTATCTATTTGTAAATTAATGTACAGCCAAAACTCTATATCTCAAAATCAGAGAGAAAATACCTATTTATGTTTGTACTACATGAGTTTAATATAAACTGATTTTCTATGACACAACCTGATAAAGTCCTTGTGAGTCGACTTCTCGTGGCTGGTGAGCGGGCCGACTGAGATCGCCCTATCTGAGATTTCCCGCGAGGTTTCCTTGGAGTCTTTTTTGATTGTGGGACTATTTCAATCTTGTTTCTCTCACTCCTGCATAACTTCAATTTTCCTAATAAAAACATTATTTAAGATTTAAAAGAAAAATAAAATTTGTGTTCATTTTTTCATAATCATATTATTCAGTCAACATGATCAACAAGCTTTGTACAATCATACACTGTAATGCTTATAATTCCCTTATACTTTCATTAGCAAGAACTTTTAGTATTGTGTGAAAATACAAGACTTGATCCATTTTTAAATTTCATTTTGGTATATAATTGTTCAAATATTTATTATATTTTATTACTAAAAATTATAAAATAAATCAATTTAACTGAAATTAACTCAATATATCTCAAAATTTTGTTTCACTGAAAATACAAAACACATGTAATTTTCATGGGTGAAAAAGCAGCTGCAATAGAAATAAGGTACTGAAAAGAAACTTTTATTCGTGTTTACATTATTTGTCAATCTACCAGGTAAAAACTAGTTTGCTACATCAATTTTTCGCAATCAAGATTTATAAAAACTATTGTTAATAGAAACAGAGACTTAAGGACCGATTTGAAGTGAGAAATATTTGCAATGACAAAACTGTAAACCTTGCGAGAATTTCTCTCCAAGGAAGAAAAGTTGGTTTATAGTATATCTATACTGTCTTAGAAATCCATAGTGAAACCTACTCTGTCTGTCCTGTTCATGTTCGTCGTAGATGTTATATATAGTTCTAAGAGGGAGGTCCTGAGGAAGAAGCTCCTCCTGGAAATCTGATAACGGCTTGTACAACAGATTTACTGGCTGTCAAAGAAAAAACAATATAAAATAACATATGCTTCAATCAAAATCTGAAGAGTTTCTATAGAAAAGATTCTATATATCTGTCATTCTTTGTCTGCATCAAAAATACATTATCTTATCATTGTACATTGTAATTAAACCTGTGAAACTTTTCTAAAAGCCAACTCTTAAGAGTTATTTTTCTTATCATAATATCGATGAACCTTAAACCAGTTATACTCACCTTAACACCCACTCTGGCACAAGCCTCCAGTGACCTTGGACTTGTGAGAACATATTTGCTGTCCTCAAATTTAGGATCCTCAAAGTTAAAAAGATTGATGTTTGGTGTTGAGTTCTCCCTAGCTTCTGGAAAAAAATTCAATTATAAGAATCATAAAAACGAAACATTTTTATTTTAAAAAAGATGTTTTGACTTGTAATTTGTACAAAAGTTAGTAATTTCTATGAAATATACTATGAAAAAAAGAAATATGTAACCACTGCCTCACAAGTCAATAACAATTTGCTCTACTATTAGATGGTAGACAGACTACTCGGCCCAAAGACACCTCGGCCCGTGCTGGTTGACACCTCGGCCCTGACAGGTAGGCTCAAAATCATTGACAGCTCGGCCCATACCGAAGACTGCTCGGCCCGTTAGGAATAAAATTAAATTTAGTTTGTTTAAATTACATGTACCCCCTGGTAGTTTAATTTTTTTTGTACTTTCTATCCACGGTAATGTAAATTTGTACTATGTATATTTAATCACTATACCTATACTATAAATATACGATAATTTCAATATTTCAGTATTTTCTAACAAACCACAGCACAACATCAAATTACAATCCATTGATTGGGATGTACATGTAATAGGTCTACACAGAAGTTTATGCCCTGGTCTGTAAGATTTATTGACTTGTTTATTTTTGATATATATATTTTACTATTTAATTGTAAAAACTCATATTTTTTTCAAATCAATTCAATAAAATATTAACAATGGTTTCTTAAAGGAACTTTTCATTAACATGAGTAAGTCTCCCAATATTATGGCTTCTCGTAATTAACTCCTCATAGTCACCACCCCCTATGACACGCGCTCGAGACTCTATAGGATGCACTGCATCTTCTTGTTTGTTTAATGATTAGCACTTATAATCAAGTTACTAATGGATTGTCTTTCTTTAATTGTCATCAATTTGCCTTCTTGGAAGATTGCAAATATATCAAATTAATTTTCTTTTGCATTTCATAGATATATAACAGCATTAATAATAAATATATTTAATTAAAATATTATATTTCTGTTTGGGCCCAGGTGTCTTTTATGTGAGCCAAGGTGTCTGCAAATTTGGGCCAAGCCATCGGAGCCGAGGTGTCAATGGGCCGAGGTATCGTTGGGCCGAGCAGTCTGACATTCTATTAGATATCTCCCTCATTTTAATATCGTCTTGGAGATACAAAGTTATTTTGCCCCAGCCAGTGGCCGTGACTAGTGCGAGGACACTTGTCTGCAAGTCAGGGGATGGGGGTCATCAGTATCAAATTCCAAATTTTCTCTGTTCCTGTTTAATCTTTTGACTGTGCTTTTTAATTGTTTATTTCCAGTCAAAGTCGCTGTAAACCATGCATTGAAACAGTTTGATCTGCATTTAATGAATTATCAAAACTGATATTATTCCCATTAAAGCAATCAAATAGCTTGCAAAAATTAATCATTGTGCAGAGGTTTATGTCAATATGCAGACCAACGATTATTTCTTCTATGAGGTCGAATGGTATAAACCTGTCAGTGCACGTTTTTACAAATTAGAATCTACCGAAAAAATACAGGTACAATTTACAACGCTGCATACATCAGATAAACTTACTTTCTGCATCGAAGAGTTCGTCATATGTCGTCATCTTCTCGGTTCAATTTTATTTCTTATAAGTGAAATATCATTAATTTTATCAGAGCAAAGCAACTGTCTGTCAAATTCAAGCTTCGACTCATCCGCGCCGCCATTCGTAAACAAAGAAATCGGAGTCGGCAAAACGTTTTAGAGAAAACTGTTACAAAGAGGAATATATATTTCCGTGAAAACTTTGTCATTGATTCGACAGGAATCTGGGCGCACTTGAGGATGAAAAAAATTATTTCAACATATTTTATCATTCGTTTGGCATTTCTGCTTCCTTCGAATAAGGAAAACATTTTTTTTCCGATTGTGTGTCCTATACTCTCATTCATCTAGGCCTATTCCTGATTTCAAGTCTGTCAAAGAGAATAATGCGTCTTGATTCGGTAATAATTTTCATCCATTAGTATGTAAAATGTATGCAACTCCGAATAAAACGGAGTATACTCCCATCCCCATCCCTCAGGAACATGCACAGGCACTTGTTTCTGTAATAAATTTTTGACCCATAGTATAATAATAACACGTGTTATTATTATACTATGGGTCAAAAATTTATTGCAGAAACAAGTGCCTGTGGGAACATGTGCTAGCTTGATTCGATCTGCATGTGATTTTTTTTTTAATCACAGTTAAATTGCTACTGAAAAATATAAATGCTTGAACTGTGGCTACATATTATTCAGTTCAATTCTTAGAATTGAACTGAATAATATGTAGCCTCAGTTCAAGCATTTATATTTTTCAGTTATTTCTTAATTAAATTTTCTATCTCTGTGTGATCTTAATTTCAATACCGGGTGTATTTTAAAACGCTACACATGTATGCATGCGTTTTTTAACATGTATTTATCTATTAAATTTTAATGTTTCAAAATTCGTACTTTTAATAATTTCGAATTCCAAATAAACAGAAGTTTCCAAACACCTTATAGGAAACGATTTTGGCGAGAAATATTAATGCACAGACACTTCCTTCCGTAATAAATTTTTCACTCATGATATTATATATATAATAAGACTTATTATAATATGGGTAAATAATTAAAAAATATTACAGAACTCACTTTCTGCGGAGAAATATTGTAGCTAAACACAATTACATGACTCTGTAATGATATTATTGTAAAAAATAAAATTAAAAAAATTGAAATCTATCTATGTTCAAGCTTCTTAATTCACATGCATGTTTGGACAATATCAATATAACAAAATGAAATTTTCATTTTTGAAAATATTTATTGAAATCTGATTCACTGTACTGTACTTAAAAATTTAATATGTAAGAAAAGACATGTGTACGGGCGAATATAATTAGAAAAGAAATAACTGAACCACCAAAAATATTTTTGTTCCACTGCCCATTACTGTCAACAAACTAAAATTCGCTTGCTAGAAATATCCGCGCGTTTCGCGACCTACTTTAATATTCGCGAATATAATCACTGAGAACCAATTATGGCAATAAAATATAAATATATAATAAGAGTAATTAAACCCCAAAAATCCACTGGAACAGCACATATGTGGCAAACCACACTTCAGATATCGGGATCAGATTATAGAAAATACATAATGAATTTATGACAATTTTGCGATACAATCTCTATATAAATCAATTAAATATGTGAAATAGGAATCAAAATCTAACAGAAGATAGGATTACACCAATATAGTGGCTTAAGTAGATGATTATATATTGAAGAGCCAATAAATCAACAAGGTCGTGTTTTTTATGAAAGCTAAGCTGCAGGATTTATTTTCCTTTTTGCATCAAAACACCGTTTACATTTGTAGTGAAATTCCTTTGATCAAGTTAATAATTATATAATCAGGGTTAAAATTAGTCTTGTCAATCGAAAGTTATCTCCTATGCCCAGGCATTGCTTCAAACGTATAGAAGAACAAGATCTGACTCAGCAGATCTTGATAAAGTATATAAGCGGGCTCATTTAAGTCCCGGTGTTCAGTCATTGAGAAAGCCGTCGAAGAGAGAGGACGTCTAACTAGGTAAGGTATTTGTGTTATCTCATTTGCGGTGTCTCAAACTGCTGCAGACGGACCATTTGAGTGACACAAAACCTAACAGATAATAAAAGAATAAAGTTGATTGATATTATAGGCCTAAACGGGTGTTGGAAACCCGGTGTTTAAAACTACTGGTCTGGGAGCTATAGTGCTCAAGCAGAGTGTCAGACCAGGGGCTTGGAGATAACAAATTAAGGAAAATTATAAATTATATAGACGATAAGTTTAAATCATTGTGTTGTTGATTATTTTTGATTGTTTGTTGTTATATTCAATCCAATCAGCTAAATACGTCAAGTAACGTAAAGGAAAATTCTTTATCTATACTTCATCCGTGGTCGAACCCACAAAACACATTACAAATTTTTGGTGGCAGCGGTGGGATAAATTGATCTAAAACCCACTTGTGATTTTCATATTAAGAACAATTATTTTTTAAGAACTTTGTTTGAGAAAATTAGGTTTAGGTCTTGAACCATGGATGACGTTGATAAAGAGATAAGTTATCTTGAAGAGAAAATTAAAGAGTTCTCAAATGAGAGTATGCGTTTGAGAGAAAAAGAAAAACAGAAAGCCTCAACACCAATAACAAATAGAGATTCTGGCATTGGTGCCTCGGAACAAGTGAGTTCTGAACCCAGACAAGACTTTGGAGGAGCTAAACCTAAAGTAAAGCTTGAGGCCGAGGCAGAAACTGATTTTGACTACATCAGTGACAGAACACGTAGACCGGCTTCAGACCATGCTCTATATTTTGAAACACCTAGATATGTTCCAAGCAATGTTACAACACGCAGGTTTAGAGAAAATAGTTTTGGAAAAGATGAAAAACCCAGTAAGCTGAAACCTGCAACTTATGATGGAACGACGTTGTGGTTGGACTATAAGTCGCATTTCAATGCATGCGCTTGCTTGAACCACTGGTCTGAAGAAGAGAAGGGGGTGTATCTGGCCGTGTCCTTAAGAGGCCTAGCCCAAGGTGTGCTTGGAAACCTCCCAGAATATCTGCAGATGGATTTTAAAGAGTTGTCCAAGTCCCTGGAAGAACGTTTTTCCCCAGCTAATCAGACGGAACTGTATAGGGCGCAACTTAGGGAGAGACGACAAAAAGCGTCAGAAACAATACCGCAGCTGGGCCAAGATATTAGACGACTCACACGCCTGGCATATCCAACAGCTCCAGGGGATGTGTGTGAAACATTGGCGAAGGAGTATTTTATCGACGCTCTTGTAAGTTTTGATATGCGTTTGAGAATTAAACAGTCACGACCCCAGAATCTGAATGATGCCATTCGACACGCGGTTGAGCTCAATGCATTCGTTGGGGCAGAACGCAGAAGAAATGAAGACAGTGGTTTTGTTCGAGAAGCAGGAGGCGATAATACTCGTCATGAGACTAACAGTGGTAGTCTAGAGGACTCTATTAAGTCTATCAAGGAGATGCTGCTGAGCCTACAGACAGATGTAAATAAGATGAAAACTGAGCAACAGAAGTCTCGTACTAACCAAACTACGTACAACACGTCTTGGAGGTTTGATGAAAAGAAGCAGACAGCAGGTACTTCCAAAAAGTGTTTCAAGTGCGGTAAGCCTGGACACTTCAAGAAGGATTGTAGATCCAAAAGTCCAAATAAGAGTGAGACTTATGCTCAGCCAAGACCATTTGACTCTTTTGGCAAAAGAAAATCTGTCAGAAATACAGAGACCGGTAAAGAAAAGTCTGGGCAATTTAAAATGGCTACTGATAGTAAAGAAAAGTCAGAAGAGAAACTTAAGGGTTCCATTGGAATCCACAAAAAGCCAAATGAGCCAGGCATGTATATTCGTGGAACCATCAATGATGTGTCTGCCATGATATTAGTTGACACTGGTGCCACGGTTACACTTATTTCATGTAAGGTGTTCGATGCAATCCGCTTGAAGCATGACGTGGAACTGAATGAGACGAGTCAGATTTTATCAGCTTCAGGCACTCCCCTTAATGTATATGGAAAAACAGTTGTGAGGCTTAAATTCGGCAAGAAAATTATATTTCAAACAGTAATAGTTGCCGACATGATTATTGATGCTGTTTTAGGCTTAGACTGCTTGAAAGCTAATAGAGGCATCATAGATTTATGCAATAAAAGTCTGAAACTAGGGGACGAGTCCCATTCCTTAGAGTTTGAAGGAAAAATTGGATGCTTTAGGATAGTCGCCTCAGGAACAATGACATTGCCATCAAAAACTGAAGTGGTGACAATAGGAAAAGTAATTGTGCCAGACAATGAGGAGTTTAATTTAGACATTGGGGTAGTTGAACCATCAACAACTTTTCTTAATTCTGACAGAGGACTGGTCGGACGAACTTTGGTAAAAGGAGGTTCAAACGTCCCAGTAAGGCTGTTTAATCCATCAGAAAGTAATGTTACCATACATTCGGGAACGACGGTCGGAGAGCTTTCGCCTATAGAGGATGTAATTGAGGGCGAATTAGGAGAATCGGAATCCTCTGATAATTTGTCTGAACATCTAAAATCATTATTCACGAAGACAAGCTCAAACCTGAGTAAGAAACAAGCAAAGGTTGTTAAGTCATTATTGATAAAGTATTCCCATTTATTTACCAAGTCTGACAAAGATGTAGGAAGGACAGGTCTGACAAAACATACTATTAATACAGGTGACAATAGACCTATCAAAGAAGTGCCAAGAAGACTGCCTGAGCACATGAATGCTGAAGTAGACAAACACGTGCAAGTTATGTTGGAAAATAATGTCATAGAGCCTTCCAACAGTCCGTGGGCCTCTAGGGTTGTTTTAGTCAAGAAAAAGGATGGTTCCACTAGGTTCTATGTGGACTATCGACGACTAAACGCTATCACAGAAAAAGATGCTTATCCAATACCACGCATCGATGAAACCCTAGACCAACTTTCAGGGTGCAAATGGTTTTCAACTCTCGACCTACACTCTGGGTATTGGCAGATTGAAATGGACCTGAAGGATAAGCCCAAAACAGCGTTCGTAACTCGTAATGGCCTATATCATTTTAACGTGATGCCATTCGGGTTATGTAACGCTCCTGCCACGTTTGAAAGGTTGATG